GGGGGGGGTACTATTAAACAGTCCTCATTTATGACCTGCAAGCCGCGGCGTCTGACAGACATGAGCAAATACACAGCGTGGAGATGGAGAGTGAAATACGCACGGTGTGTATCCATCCAGATGCGCCATTATGGATGACACTGGCGTCTAGTACACATACGCGCACTCTCTCTCCCTCTCCCCCTCTCTCTCTCTCTCATAAACGCACTCACTACCGAGGTCTGCGTGAGAGCAGACTGATACTGTTCTTTTGGTGATGTCACATGTGAGCCTGTAAAAGTCTCTTGCTGCTTGTTTCCTCTCATGGCAGCAGAGTTTCTTATCGGATCATTGCGCTCCCCTCGGAGAGATGAGCGATGATCTAAATTAAAAAAAAAAAAAAATGCAGAGCATTGTGTCTGCTTCTAATCAAGCCCCTGATTGAAGTGCAGCGCGTTTGTCTCACAGTCATAAAACCTTCTTCACGGTTAATCGATTTTATTGGGCTGTAATATTTGGTGATGGCGCTGATGACAAGGACATCAGGGCCAAAAGGTCTTGAACAGGTTATATTCAAAGCTGCATGAAGGAGAACATGAACAATAACATGTTTATTCTTTGCCAAATGGTTTCATCTGTGGTGAACTGTTGTTGAATTCGATAATGTCTAATTTGGTTTTCTTGCTCACGTTTCCCCAAAACAGCGCAGTGTCTGTTGCGTAACTTGCGCAGTGTTGATGCCATATGACTGGATACAAGCGGAAGAAAGAGCGTCTCGTGTTGTATCTTTCATAAACAGTTTCAGTGATGCCACAGAATAAAGAGAGCGCTGGACACATCCAATACACAATGCGTTTTGTTAGCTCCAATAGACAATTTAACCATCCAGTCTGACTAATGAATCACCGTGTGCAGCGCAGAAGAAAAGCGTCGCTTATCACCCTATGATGAAGTGCAAACAGACCATCATTGACTCCCATTGTTGGGGGGAGGACGTTGGGGGGGTGAGGCGCTGGCGTGAAGCCCCACACCCGGATGGAAGTGGCTCCCAAAGGCCACATAATGTGACACATGCATAAAGACAACACCTTGCGCCTCGCACCTTGAGTCGCACTTTTGGCACAGACCCGATGAGATTTGGCACATTGTTTTTACGCGATGCTTTAGTATAAAAAAAACCAAAATATTCTTTTAAGGATCTTCAGAGAGATTGTGATCAGGGGCCTGTCTATGTACTGAGAGGGCCACAGACACATTTCCAAGAGAGAGAGAAATTGAAGTATGCACATTCTGCTTCTCCATGAGGGCTCTGAGACACTAATGTGAACAAACTGCAAAACAAGAAGCATTTAATTATCTCAGTAAATGCACAATACTGAGCATGTCCTCTAGACTATTCTGTAATAAATGTTGCAAGGGGAAAACATTACGCTCAGCGACCGTTGGGCTCATCACTGCATATCATTATGATCAAAATCCGTAATCAATCACTTCTTTATTCCAAACATCTCAGCCATATAATAAGCCTGACCCTTCCTGAACCCTCTGAAATAAATCACCAGGCGCACCACTACAGTAATGTAAACTTGAACCGCAGAGCGTTTGTCCTGGCCCCCATGGGACCCCCGCGAGGAACTGGACTGTTGCTCAACCCTCTCTGTTTTGTTTGGTGGGAACTTTTCCCAGATCTAAATAGGCCCTAATAAATTTCACTTGTTGTTTATGTTGTGAAGCACCACAATGGCCACAGTGAGCTCTAAAATATTGGAGGGTGAATTGCTTTTGGCACCTGTATCCATGTGAGGGGGGGCCTACACATTTAACCGAGTATTAATATATTGGATTCTGAAGCAGACTCCTCCAAGGTAGGCTTTCTGGGAAGCCAAGAGAAACAGTCTAAGGTCTGAAAGAGGACAGGGGCTTGCAGAAGGCCAGGACAAATTGAAACTGCTTGCTTTGAGGCATTCCAACTATTTTCATTTGTTTCTGTTAAGTCACTTA